CAACTAGACATGAGAAAGAAAAACCTGCCTCTCCTCCAGGCAGCAGTCCTGAGGCAGCCCCCAGAGCAGCTGCAGGCCAGACGGTCTCCACTCGCCTCGCTCAGGCCTAGAGGCCCACAAAGGCTCCAGATTGGACAGCCCTCTATAGCAGTCACACAGCTTTGGAGAGGTTGACTCAGGACTCAGACTTGCCAGAGTCCAGGCCCTGGTTTGTCACTCACATCCCTTTGTCTACAGCAACCTCAGCCAAGTCCTTTCTGCTCTCTTGGCCTTGATTTCTCATTGGCAAAGCTAAAGAAGGAACCAGATGATTCCTCAAATCATGACATGACCCTGAGGCAATTCTCAAGGCCGAGATAAGCTCCTCACATACAGCAGGTGGAACAGGTATGAACTTGAGTCCAAAATACCTGATTAACTTTGCCAACTAAACATTGTTCCTCACCATCTGACACTACCAGGATGGAATAACTAGCCACGGACGTCACTGCATTTCAACACAGCCTGTGAAGGGTTTAGGGTAGAGGTCAGGAATGAGGCCCTCGGTGCTCTGAGAAAACTGACAGAACATTCCATCAAAGAAATATTTTCAAAAGATTTTGTATCTCATATCTAGAAAAGCATCACTGACAGAGACATCTGCTCCTTGTAACCAGCAGCAAGCTTCTGCCAAAACATGTGCTTGACTGCATGTACCCCTTCACCAAATCATGGATGCACTGAACTCCCACACATATCTCTTAGACACCTCTTAGGCAATATTCAGCAGAGCTTTGTGAGAAGCTGTCTCCAAACTACAGTCCTCCACTTAACCCCAAACAAATCTTAACTCTCACATTGTGCTCTTTTCAACAACTTTATATAAAACTTAAATAGCATGTCAGTCAGTCAGTCAGTTCAGTCACTCAGTCATGTCCGACTCTTTGTGACCCCATGAACCACAGCACTCCCAGCCTTCCTGTCCATCACTAATTCCCAGAGTTTACCCAAACTCATGTCCATTGAGTCTATGATGCCACCTAACCATCTCATCCTCTGTCATCCCCTTCTCCTCTGCCTTCATTCTTTCCCAGCATCAGGGTCTTTTGCAATGAGTCGGCTCTTCACATCAGGTGGCCAAAATACTGGAGNCAATGGGCTGCTTTTCTGGGCACCTGATGTCCTCAGCTAGTGATCAGAAGTTGTTTTGTGAAGTTTGCTCAGCGTTCAGTTGTTCTTTCAATGAATTTGTAGGGAAGAAAGTGGTCTGCCCGTCCTATTCCTCCGCCATCTTGGCTCCTCCCTCGAGATTCTCAGTGGTGTCACTTTTACATTTCAGCTCCCTCAATAGGAAGTTGAAACACTAGTCTGAATGTAGAGTCAAAATTCTGAACTTTCAAACCACTTGAGTAATGTTATGTGTAGATGCCGTGGTGGGGGAAAAGGCAATCCACTCCTGTATTCTTGCCTAGGAAATTCCATGCACAGAGGAGCCTGGCAGACTAGAGCCCATGGGAGTCACAAAAGAGGCAGACATGACTGAGCGACTGAACAGCAACACAAAGGGCAGACAACACTTTTTATTCACAACAGTCAGTCCGTGAATTAGCACATGCCCCTCCCCCTGCCATGGCAACTGGTGACACAGCAGATGGTGAAACATCCATCAGTCTGCATCCCCAGGAGACAAGGTTCCAGGTCAGAGTCCCGATTTGTGAGGTCCTTTCTCAGTGTCTCCCTCCATGCCCCACCCTCTTGTCTTCTCTACATTATTTCCAGGTCCCCCAAGCCCAGGACTAACGAGCACCTGTATTAGCAGTCAGACAGACCTGGATTCACATCTTGCCTCTAACACTCTCAGGCTCTATGTCCTCCACGGATATGCTTAACCCCTCTCAACTTCAGTTTTGTCACCTTTAAATTGGGGGCAATTTCAAGTTCTAAAGGTGCCCATGAAAAGCACAGAGGGAAATGCAGTCAGCGTCTATGGGCTCTTTGAATGGACCAGGCTCTGTGATTGTGAGATTAGAGTGACGAGGGAAGGCCTGCCTGAAGGAGATACATTTGAGATGAAGCTAAACATTAAGAAGAAGCCAGCAATGCAAAAAGCTGGAAGAACATTCTAGATGTGAGAAATAGTCACTGTAAAGGCCCAAGGTAACCAAACTTAATGAACGGCTACTTTTCGAGTTCCAATATTGCTTTCATGCTTGGAACTTGGCCACAAGTCACAAACCAGGACCTCATCACATACTTTAATTGTGAGTTACCAGCAATGAACTATCTCATCCTCCCCAGAAGGGAGACCCTGGTGCCATCATAGGCCTGAGTCAGCCCTGGGCCCAGGGCCATGTACACAAGCTGGTTATCACCAGGGGCATCAGTTCCCAGGGGCATCACAGGTGTCTCTGGCTATCTCTGTGTGCTTGTTCTCAGGGGTGGAAGCTCCAGGGAAGTGATAGAGCCAAGAGACAAACAAAAGCTCTTGTCCAATCTTTCCCTGTGTGATCCTCTGGTCGGCTGACTACACTGCTCTCTGGGAAAAATCTCTTTCTCTTATTCCTTCTCTGAAGATGGCTTGTGAGTAACATCAGCACCTGACCCTGAAGTCTGGTGGCTGGAACTCAACTCACAATCAGCTAAGACCCAGAAATGTCCAACCTTGTCCTGTGTGCCTTTCCTTTTTCTCCAACCAGTTCCATAAAGCAAAGTCCCCAAAGAACATGACTGGTTCACCCACTCTCAAAGCATTCAAACCTCCAAGATCTTTTTTGAGCATCAAACAAGGAACAAGTCCCTTGATTATAGGCTTGTCTCAAACCAAACCTTGCTCAGCCAGAGTACATTCAGTACTCTGAATGTAGAGTCATAATTCTGAATTTTACAGCAACTCAAGCAGTGTTTTGATATGTGCAGTTAGTCACCAACATGTTACAATTAGACTTATTAGTCTCTGTTCTCAATTTTGACACGTGATTATTTTTTGATTCTATAACACATTTTTATGGCTGCAAATCAAAGTATAAAACAAGAAAAATCTCACTTCCCTGCACCTCATCAATAAATTACATTTTAGTAGTTTTTGGCTAATTCTTTTACTCTTTCTAAATGAAAATAGACATACATGTGTATAAGAAACAACAAACTCTAAGAACTTTTTTGGATTCTCTTTTTTAAAAAAGCTAAGTACATAGTTGACAATGTCACCCATTCCACATTATATCCCGGTGTTGGGATGCCCTGTGCCTTATTACAAATTCCCGCATGGAAGGTCACTTCACATATGTTTCTGATATTTTGATTTGAAAAACAATGTGCAGTAGATAGCTTGTGCATATGGCTTTTTATATTGTCACCATTGTGTCATTGGGTAGAACCTTAGGAGTACAATTGCTGAGTTAAAGAGCAAATGTGTGTGTCATTTTTTATATTCTCTCATATTCCCTCTCTAGAGACTGGACCACCAAAACTGGATTTAAACAATTTACATAAATGAGGGTTAAGACATTGTGCCCCATCTATACACACCTGGTGTCCAGACCAGGCCCCTGTTGTTGTATCCAAGGGACAGGCCAGGATAGATCTCATGCAGGAATAGGCCCTGGGAGTCCTGGAAGAGCCAGGAAACACTGTCGTCTTTACTTTGACTGTGGTAACAGTTTAACAGATAGCCCTGTTCATCTCAGTCTGGGTTAGAGCCCTGAGTGGTTTTCTTTGCCTTCTTTGATTGATAAGACACTTCAAAATTATTTTCTGTGTGTTTTGTTTAGCAGTCAAAATTTTTCATAGCATGGACCCTACTGGAGAATTACATCAGACATATATCCATTTATCTTCAGCAAATTGACATTATTAAGGTCATTGATTGATATATCCCTGGTGATCTTTCTTTGCAAATAGAAAGAAACGAACATGTTTAATATGCATTCAGTCTCATTTTAAATCATCCAACTTGAATTAAATCCCTCTCTGTCCCCACTGCACTCCTACTTCTAGGCCAGAAATAAAAACCTGCATAGACTGAAGGCTGAATCCAGCCCACCGTGGTGAAGATTTGGCTCCCACTATGTTTTGGGGGGATAAAAATTAGTTACTAAGATTAAAATCACAAACTTGCACATAAATATCCAAACTTCTGACTTCTCTTGAAAACCTGGCCAACTGACCCACTTTCCAGCGTGGCTGAAGTGGAGGAGAGGCTGCTCCCAGTGGAAAGACATGTGCTGCCCAGTGTTGAGCATAGATGCCTAGGCTTTCATCATTTCTCTTGCCTCCTGGACCATGAGTTTGTGAGAACTAGAATGCTAGCTCGATTAAGATAAAGACCACTTCTGTCTTGATCAACTTTGTCTTTCCACCATCTAACTCAGACCCCAGCACACATGTCTTCCTTGTAGGTTTGTTGGATGATATAAAATATCCTGTGGATGCATATGGCACTTCTTCCAATACTTAAATCATTCAATTTAAATACTGCTCTGCCCTAAATCTTTGATGCAGACTGGCTCATAGGTGCCCCTGATCTCTGACATTAAATCCACTACCTAAAGCCACTCATATGTCCCTGGGCTGCCTCTGAAGTCTTCACTTTTCCATTTGACTTCTTTTCCTCCTAGCAATCAGCTCTCCAACGAGGACAGCAAACCATACCTCATGAAGTGGCTAGGCAGACCACAGGAGATCATGAATGTCTAGCATGGCCCCTAGTATTGATTTTTATGGTGTTCTTAGCAGTTATTTTCTCCACAATGGCAAGTTTCTCTATGCCTTAGATGTCCATGCAGTTCACTTTGGTATTCCAGCCTAGCCTCAAGGAAGAGATCACAGTAGAATTCTCTGAATTCTGAGAATTTTCTAAGTCCATTCCCTAAGGACAATGATGGAAATAAAAATTTTATCAAGAGCTTTGTATTTTTATCAGATCCATTAGTGGCCTAAAGGGGACAATTAGGGCAGGATGGAGCACATATAACCAGAAGCTCCTGGTCACCACTGCATGCTAAAGAACTAAAGCTTCCCTGAGTACTTGGAGCCAGGAAAGAAGCATGAAGTGGCTTGTGCTCCTCGGGCTGGTGGCCCTCTCAGAGTGCATAGTCATGTAAGTATGGGGACTGTAAGCAGCAGCATCTTCCTTTCTGGGTTAAAAAGAAATGGAACATTTCCCTGATAGTCTAAAAGTTCAACTCTTATTTATTGATAAATACCTTGCTATAGGTACTTATCCTTGCTTCTTTAGCCTTGGGCTTCCCAGGTGGCGCTAGTGGTAAAGGACCCACGTGCAAATGTAGGAGATGTAAGAGATGTGGTTTCGATCCCTGGATCAGGAAGATCCCCTGGAGAAGGACATGGCAACACACACCAGTATTCTTGCCTGGACAATCCCATGGACAGAGGAGCCTGTCAGGCTGTGGTCCATAGGGTCATATAGAGCTGGACACAACTGAAGCAGCTTAGCACGCAGGCATGCACCTTGCTATAGATACTGTGGGTCCCAAGGGTGAAGGTGTAGGTTTGCATTATTGCACAACTCTTGGGACCCCATCATGTGGTGACCTACTGAAAATGGAATTCCTTGCAATTTTTTAATGCACAACTTGTACAGATGTATGTGTGGTCCTGTGGAATAGCATTTTTCTACATTTTATTCTAGGTCTCCTCTCTGTTCTCTCTCTACTTCAGTGTGTATATGTCTATGTCTGCATCTCTGTGTCTCTCTCACTTATCTCTCCATCTCTTTGGAAGTCTCTGTGAATGCAGATCTCTCCGTATTGTTTTCTCTTCTTTTAGTTTTTCAATTATGTCTCATCCTTGCTTCTTTAGCCTCTTAATTTCCCTAAATTGTTTCCTATCTCCTGGATTCTTCTCTTAACCCTCTGTTCTGTTTCCACTTGGAGAAAGACTGGGAGAGCTACTTCTACGCTGTTGTACATCTGACAAGCAGTGTGACCACAGCCAAGTGACAAACTCCTTGAATTTCAGATTCCTTCCCTGTAAAAATAGGGTAATGATCCTATTCTGGAACCTTAATCCGTGAGATTCCCTGAGAAGGATACAGTGGGATGGCAATAGAAATACTAATGGCTGTCATTCTTGACATTTACTATATATCAGGTACATTATATCCATCACTTCACTTACCTCCCAAATTTTCTATATGAAGGGTGGGAATCATTACATTCCACCCTTTTACCCAGGAGTAAGCTGAGAGTCCAAATGATCTTACACAATGTTACACAACAGAACCTGTATTCAAACCTATGTCTTTGCCATGGTATTGCATGGCATTCTGATGATAAGGTGACACTTATAAAAATGCTTGGAAAATACACAGTGCCATTACAATGGCAGTTATACCTTAACACGGACAGCTAATCATATCTTCTTCTTTGTTTCTTTTCCTAATCCTCGGTGAAAGTTTGCCTCTAAGGAAAGTGAAGACCTTGCGAGAAACCCTGAGGGAAAAAAACTTGCTGAACAATTTCCTGGAGGAACGAGCTTACAGACTATTCAAGAATGACTCCAAAACAACTATTCTCCCCCTGAGAAACTTTCTGGATGTGAGTTTGTTGGGAGGATGGCTATCCACGCCGCCCCCTTGTGCTCTGTCCTAGCACTGGGACTCATCTGGAGGTGACAGGTGGGATTCTGGGTCTGGGGCTCCAGCAGGAGGCAGAAACACTGGGGAACAGGAACCCCATTCCATAGGAGAAGGCGTTCTCATCCTCAACTCTTGGTCTGTGGTGACTGGGCCCACTAATGATCAGGTGGCAGGTAAACATCCATTTCTGTGTCAAAGATGTGTCATTAGTCTGAAGGAGATTGTTCCTTCTGAACTAAGTGAGCCACTCAGTTACAGATTAAGGGTTAGCCATCTCTGGTCAAAGGATAAAGCCAACTGCAAAGCAAGTGTGAATCCCCAGGCAAAAGAATTCAGCTTCCACAGATGCAAGAATCACAGCAGTAAAAAGTTACTGAATACCTATTCCGTGTAAGGGATAAGAATCTAACACTGTGGTTATTGTTATTAGATTAGAAAAAAGGGCACGTTTTGTCTTCAAGATTGTGCAGGCTAGCCTGAGAGAAAGGCAAAGAGTAAATATATGTCAAATGAAAGGGTCACCTATGTGGTGTTGATTGGATGTGGTCTGAGTTTGGAGGGAGTGGCTGGGATTGATCAAGAAGGACCTCCTGGAGAAGGAGGTTCTCAGGCTGGGTTTGAAGAGACTAGAGAGCTTCTCAAATAAAGGCACCAGGACTTCCCTGGAGGTCCAGTGGTTATGACTCTGGGCTTCAAATGCAGGAGGTACTAAAAAGTACCTGGTCATAGAGTGAATATTCCAGATACAACATAGCACAGGAAAAATTATCAAATGCAGGCACCTCTGAGAATAAAGGCTGTGAACTGCATGGTGGTTGGAAAGTGATCTCAGGAGACATATGACACCCAGGGGGAGGCAGCAGTGATGTCCCTGGGGAGACGTCTCCATAGTGACACACAAACAAATGGATTAGCTAACCCAGAGAGTGGCTTGGGCTGTGGGCTTGCAGCCCCTCTGCCCATGAGCAGCTCAGGGTTCATTTTGCTGGGAGCCAGAAGAGGGGAGAAAAGCACCAACTTTTATATTCTCAGACTGTGCCAGGCACTTTCATGGTAATAACTTGCTGAAAGCTGTAACAACCCCACACAACAGGTGCGTTGATTAGCTTACGATACAGATGAGGAAACTGAAGTGCAGACAGCAAGGGCCTAGCTGAGGTCACACGTGTGGTAAGCAGTGGAGCTGGGCTGGCTTGTCAGGACCGAAGCTGGTGGTGGTTGTTTGGGGAAAGGATAAAACTGATCTGGGGACCCTGGGCACAGTCAAGCACTTCAGGTATCCGGGGTGGATACGCAGGTGGCCAGAGATGTAGGGGGGCATGATAAGTGTGTGCTCCACGTATGGGGCCTTTGGAGTCTATAGCCTCCCTCACCCAAAGTACCTGAGTAGTTCGCCTCTCTCTCTTACACACTCATACAAACACACATATACCCCCCAAAAGTGTATTTCCCACGCAGTAATTTCATAAGAACCCTACCAGCAACCTTGTATAATGGACTTCTGTCTTTCTGGGCAGATGCAGATCCCAAAATACATTACCATCAATTCAGTCCCTTTCTATCATCAGGTCATAGAGACGCCAGAGAATGCTCTCTTGCTCTTTACTCATTTTGTCCAGAAGGGGGCACCATTGGGTCCCGTCCCGACTCGGGTGCCCAACCCTTACAGAAGTCATGAGGGCAGTTTGACTCACTCAGAAGGTGTTTTTTGAGGGGCAGAAGTTCTAAAATCCACAGACCCACGTAAATGGAACCCAAATTCCCATCCCTGCTCGGTCTAACCATCTGAGGTCTACTGAGGACACAGAAAGACCTCACTTCTCTGCAGAGCTAATGGCGTCTCTCCCTCAGCCCAAGCCTACACCCACTTAACAAACCTTTATGTGGGAACACTCTTCTCGCCCACAGATCGGGAACCTTGTTAGCCTTGAGCAGTCGTTTGGCCTAAGCCTGGTGGAATACGGGTTTAATTTTGTACCCTTTGATGGCATCCTGGGCTTGGCATTTCCCACCATCGCCATCGAAGGTACCATCCCCATCTTTGACAACTTGTGGTTCTATGGTGCCTTTTCTGAGCCTGTCTTTGCCTTCTACTTGAGCAAGTAAGTCTGAGCTGGACAATCCCTCTCTCCAAATTAGTTATAAGGTGATTTCAGTTGCATGAAAATTAAGCAACAGTTGATACAGAAGTATCCTGAGAGATAATATAACCCAGGATAACTATGGCCCCAGGGCCCCACCTGGCTTCACCACTGGCTTTTATAAATAAAGTTTTATTGGAACACAACCATGCTCCTGGGTGCAAGAGCAGGGGCTTGGTGTAGGGGGTGAGCAAAAAGGAAGACTAATGCAAGGTGTCAGGATATGAATTGGAAGAAAAGGCAACAGAATTTGCTGATGAATTTGACATGGAAGGAAAGAGAGGAATGGTGGAAATCTTTCTTTCCTCGCTAACATTTCACTGAGCACCCAGGACCAGCTACACAATTTTCAGGCGCCAGTGCAAAAAGAAAGTGTGGGATCCAAAATGAAAGTGTGGGACTCCATTTTGAACAAGTATTGGGAATTTCAAGACAGGGAGAGCAGAGGCGGGGGCCCTGCTGAGTGTGGGGCCCAAAGGACAGCACAGGTCACAGGCCAGTGAAGCCAACCCTGTGTGACTTGAAGCCACACCCTTAGTGCTTCAGGCCTTGATGTTTCTGAAAAACTACAGGCTGGACAAGGGGGAAGCCAAAACCCTTCAGCACGCTGTCCTCTGAGGGTATCTCTGAGCACTCAGGTCACAGGAGGTCCAGGGCCTCTTCTGAAGACTGAGTGGGTGGAGCCCAGCCAGGTGGCCCAGCTCCTAACCTCCTCTGTGCCACTCATTAGCCAGCGACCGACCTTGGTCTGGTTCTCAATTGCTCCTAGCCTCGATCTCTGCATATGTAGATGGGGACCTTATTAGGGCCTTGATGGGGGGACAAGCACAGCTCTCAGACAGTGCTGTTGTTACTGTCCTCCAAGGATCCCCCTCCCTTCTCTCTGCAGAAGCAAGCCGGAGGGCAGTGTGGTGATGTTTGGTGGGGTGGACCACCGCTACTACAAGGGAGAGCTCAACTGGATACCAGTGTCCCAAACTCGCCACTGGCAGATAAGCATGAACCGGTAAGCCTCTCCCTCTGAAGGTCATCCCAAATGATGCTCCCATATCTGTATACAGACACAGGCAGACACACAAATGCACTCCCAGACACACAGTCAACAGACATACACACCACCCACAAGGACACAGACAGACACACAGACACTCATGCAAAGATACAAGCAGGCACATATAAATACACATAGCCAGCCAGAGACACACAAGTACACACAGAAAGCCACATATGAACACACACATAAACAAACACAGAAACACATAAATACACAAACCACACATGGGTTCATAATCAGCCCAGGCCTCCTGACCAAGTCTCTGAACAGGGTCCCTCACAGGGTCCAGAGAGGCCTGTGCAGCTGCAGGAGGACTGCACCCTGAGTGTGAGGTGGGGAGCATGGTTATAGGACTTTACAGTGTGGTGAAAAGAGGATCAGGGAGAATTTCCTCAGCCTGAACAGAGCTGTGATAAAATGACCAACTGTCCAGGGCAACAAGGGACCAAGGAAGTTCTCAGTACAGAGAAATGTCAGTTTAAAAACAGGGAAAGTCCTGAAGAAATGGGGAAAACTAGTCTCCTTAGGGAGAAGCTAGCCAGCAGTGGAGAGAGGTTGGCCACAGTCTTGGGACCCGAAAGCAACTCATAAAAAGAGACACCCCATGTCCCTGGGCACACAGTGAGGCAGGGGCTATAACTGAGAGAATCGGGAAGGTGGGATCCAGGAGTGGCTTGAGAACAAGAGGCAATAATTGATGAGATTCTGTGTTTTACCCTCAGATAAAATCTTTCCTGTCCTTTGAGGTTCTGTGTCTAGTCAGGTATTGGCTGGTCAGGGTCTCAGTGTCTGAGCCCAGGGAGGGGGTGCTGCTCAGAGACACCCTCTCCCAGGGCAGCCGGTATCTCCCACCCCTATGAGAATCTGCTGCCGCGGGAACCTCCATCTTCACTGTGTGTTTGACCCATTGTTGGTGAGACATCAGATATACCTCTCTGGATGGTCTCCATTCATTATTTTCACAGTCTTCTTTCTCTCATTCCACAAACAAGCATTGTGCATCCACTGTGTGCCAGGCACTTTAGGGATGTGATGAGAATAAAACTCGCCCTCACATCTAAGAAGGTAAATGTGCAAGAAATGACACACACACATAGTGAATTGTCACTTTGGTACACACTAGACATGAGGGGCATCCCTTATAGCTCAGTGGTAAAGAATCTGCCTATAATGCAGGAGACCTAGGTTCGATTCCTGGTTTGGGAAGATCCTCTGGAGAAGGAAATGGCAACCCACTCCAGTAGTCTTGCCTAGAGAATCCCATGGACACAGGAGCCTGGCAGGCTCCATGTCCATGGACCCCCCTCTGTCCATGGGGTCGCAAGAGTCGGACATGACTTAGCAACTAAACCACCAGCACCAGACATGAGGAAGGGTCTACAGAGAGTGACCAAGACAGGAGACTGATATACACCGGGGGAAAGACTTCCCTGAAACCATGACAGTTAAACTGGAATCTGAAAGATGAAGAGAAATTAGCTAGTCAAAGAGGAGGGTGCTCTTCTAGGAAGGAAGACCAGCTTGTGTCAAGGTACAAAAGAGCATGGTGTATTCAAGTACTGCGTTCACGGATGTCAAGGAAGTTGCTGTGATCAGAGCAAAGGATAAGTCAGGGCAAGAGATGAAGCTTTGTTCAGGAGACAGTCAGGGAGGGGGCAGCTGTGAGGGAGGGGGCAGCTGTGAGGGAGGGAGCTCACAGTTTCCTCAGGGAGGGAGCCTTCCTCATGACCCTGATGCCTGCTTTGTCCTACTGTCTCTCAGCATCACTATGAATGAGAATGTTGTTGCTTGTTCTCGTGGATGCCACGCTACTTTGAACACCGGGACATCAGTGATCTATGGCCCAACAGAACAGGTCACCAACATCCACAAACTCATGAATGCCAAGCTCAAGGATTCTGAGGTGAAGGGTCATGCCACAGGGTCACTCCCAGTCTCCCCACATAATAAGGATCCTCTGGGCCAACCTCTCTCCTTCTCTCTAACAGTATGTGGTTTCATGTGATGCAGTCAACACCCTGCCTCCTGTCATCTTCAACATCAATGGCATCGACTATCCACTGCCCCCTCAAGCCTACATCATCAAGGTGAGCGGCCACCCCTGAGGGCTGGTTCTCTAAATTGGGGTTTGCAGGAACCCTTGGGCTACTGCTGGGAGGAGGGCACCCTCTGCAGGCCAAGCCACACCATTGCAGATGCCGCTGAGCCCCTGTGGCTGGGCCAGCGCCTCCCACAAAATCAACCACTTGAGAGTGGAGGACAGTCTGGGATATCTGTCCTGGAATAAATGTGGAGACACCACTCTGTGCTGGCATGGTGGGAGTCACAAGGAGAGGGGAACACTAAGGTCTTCTGCCCTCATAGATCTTCAGTTCAACTAGAGCCCTCAGATGCAGGAACACGGAAAGCCAGCTCTAGTGATCCCTAAAATAGGACATGTGACAAGGGGGCTTGGCTGGTGGCGGTGCTGTGTGCTGTCCCACCATGATGATTAACAGTCTCCCTTTCCTTCTTGAAATTTTCCCGGTTACAATAAATTACATGGCTACCTTAGACCTTGACTGCAACGTCCCCTTGCTAAATCCCAGTTCCCCCTCTGTGAGTAGGGCTACCTGACTCGTCTGGGGTGGTTGGATGCTAAGGTGAATAAAGGGTGCACAGTGACTGCTCAGCCCTAACACAGAGTGGAGGCTTCACGTCAGCTCCCTGTGGGAGTTCAGAGCAGGCTGTTGGGCTCAAAGATGGCTTTGAGGAAGAGAGGGAATTGCAGTAATTCTGAAACCCCTGATTCATGGCTCCATAGGGAGGCCTGCTTGGGTCTAGGCAAATCTGCCCTGGATTCCATGCAAATGGAAACCCACAGTGCTCTGCAAAGGGACCCTGGGGACTTATTAGGGGTGATGAGGGCTATGAACCGACCGGTGGGGATGGAGAGCAGAATAAGTCACCCAGCCAAGCCTAGAGTGGCCAAAGGGTGAGTGTGGGTCCAAATAGTCTTCTCAGAGGGCCTGAGCAAAGTCTTAAAGGTTTAGAAGCTAGTTTATTTTTACTCATGAGTGATCTTAAGCAGATTTGCTTTAAAGCCTTTTGATTCTGTAAATCCAATTTCATTTAGGAAGGAGGAGGAGGAGACTGGGGAAGGGGGGAGAAAAGAAAAATGAGGCACACTGTTCATTAAAAATAGCGATTATTTAACTACATTTTCCAGGTTAATTTTGCCATTAAATGGGGAAGCATGATATTAAAAAAAGAAAGAAAGAAAGTTGAGAGCACTGCTTCAAATGTATTTAACATGCATAACCAACAGTGAGCTACTGTATAGCACAGGGAACTCTGCTCAATGTAAGGTGGCAGCCTGGATGGAAGGGCTGTTAAAAGTTAAAAAAAAAAAAAGAGTTGCTTGGGGATCCAGGAGAAGAACAGGCATTCTCTGCAGAGAAAACAAGGAGCAGGTGTCAGAAGGAAAGAAACAGAGAGTGTCAGGAGAACCAGGGGACACTCTTGTTCTTTTCTAGAAAACCGTATTGCAGTATGGCTAATCAGTGTTGCCTTAAGTTCTGCTGCACACCTAAGTGCTTTAGCTGTACATATACAAATATACATATTCTTTTTCATTAGTTAATCAATAAATATTGAATATAGGTCCTTGCACTGTAAGTAGGACTTTGTGGCTTATCATTCCTCTGTATATCACTTTGCATCTGATCATTCCTAACTCCCAATCCTCCCCTCCCCACACTCCTGCCACATGGCAACCACACGTCTTGGCCCTTTTTGTTTTTGGATGAGCCCTCATATCCCCAGCTGCTGAGAAATTCACCCAATACTTAACAAAAGGGGGAAATAAAACCAAGAAGTGTGCCAGGTCTGGATATTGAGGAGGGAGTTGCAGGTAAGTGCTCAGGCTGACTGGTGTGTATCTCTAACTCCTCCAGATTCAAAACTCCTGCCGTAGCATCTTTCAAGGGGGCACAGAAGCTAGCTCTCGAGACACCTGGATCCTGGGTGATGTCTTCCTGAGGCAGTATTTCTCAGTTTTTGATCGAAAAAATGAAAGGATTGGCCTGGCTCCAGCAGTGTAAATGCTTGGACTGGTTCAGGAATCAATCAGGCCTCTCCTAACACACACTCGCTCACACTAGGGCACTCCTGCCCAGTGATGCTGGTGAACTGTGTTTCGTGCTCTGTATTATTCTCAGTAATGAATAAAAAGTTTCACTTTTAATGGTGCTAAAACAAATGGGTGCTTCTTTTTGGATCTGGGAGGTGCATCATAATCAGCAAAGATCTAGAACCTGTTCTGCCCGTAGTCCGAGTCTCTGGTCGGGAAATAAGACTCCTCGAAACAATGCAACTTGCAATAGGGGAATTTATTACTGACTCGAGCCAGGGCCTCCCGCCCTCACCAAGGGTGTGAGGACGAAAAGGCCCCGAGCCCCAGTTCTCTTGGGTATTTATTAGGTCAAAAAAAGCAGCAGGTAGTTGGCACAAGCGGATTGGTTACACAGTTGCAAGGCAATTTTTGTTGGCCCAGCGTGGGGCTTTCAGCTTTCTCCTGATAGGTTCCCTTTTTCTTGCTAGGCACATGTTGATTGGCTAGCTCCAGGAGGCCTGATAATTATGTTACCCCGGGAAACTAGGCCCACTCCTAATCTAGGCTGCCTGTCATGGCGTTAGCCGTGACAGCCTCACAGAACCAAGTCTGAACCACAAGTGACAGGAACTCAAATCCAACTGGTTTCAAGGAAAGGGGAGACTTTTCAGAAGAACACGAGATCCTGTACATAGGAACCGGAACAGATAGAAAGATCTCAGTGACTGGACCCAAGAAATCAGAAACCTTCAGCTCAGTCTTTCTCATCCTCGCTCTTTCCCCCTCTCTCTTCTTTAATGGTCTTAGCCTAACAACCTTCTTCCTTAAGGCTTCTACACCTAGTGAGGGAGTCCAAAGCTACCTGCCTCAAGGTTTTTATATTCCCAAGGCATCTAACTCATAAGGAAAGAAGCTCGGAGATGTCAGGGTTCAAGGGAGTGCTCTGAATGGCCCACCCAGGATCTCATGTCCAGTCCTGGATCAACCATCCTGGCAGGGTTACAGGGTCCTATGAGTGGGTTTACATGGTCATGTGGCCCTGACTCAGCAGCAAACATGATTGACAGTTTCCTCCAGAACTTAATAACTGGAGCTGGCAGGAGGCAGCCCAAAGGATAGTGACTGGGGGATGGTCTCGATCAGGGAAGAGTTTATGATGATGCCAACTCCACCACCTCCTCATTCAGAGGGATTATGACGGGTAATGAAAATATTCTATTCATCACATCTTAGATGAACATTGGCAGTGGGATTCTGCTCCAGGGGGTTCTGGGTGAGGCCCCTCACACTGAGATGGTTCTCCTTTGTCCCCCCCACCTCAGTTACCAGCTCTCTGCCACCCACACCTGCTGTGACTTTTCCAGTCCCATTTCCCATGTAACAGCCCCTGTGGATCCCTGAGCCATCCCCCTCCTCCAGGGTCCAGCACACCCCTTCCTTGGCCTCCAGTGCTGTAGGGGAAGGTGTCACTCATGTAACAGTGGGCCAGGGTGCACAGAGCATTCAGCCTCTCTGAGCTTCCTCCAGGACCAGAGTTACAAACCGTTTGGTTGTGAGCTGCCATGGACTGGCACCTTGGGAGTAGAAGTATCACTTCTTTCCACCTGGAGACCCTGGGTAGAGACCTAAGCTCAGGACAGTAGGGGTCAGAGATACATCTCTGACTCAGGTAATGGAAGAAAATGAAAAGAAGAGATAAAGTAGAAAACATACTCCAAGACAATGCATAGTAGGGGTCTTTACTCAGGCAAGAGGAACCTCAGTGAAAGAAGTGCCCCCTGCCTTTCTTCATCTTTTTATTCAGTACAAATTTACAGAGCAGCTACTATGGTCTTTCCTGAGGGCTCAGCGAGTAAAGAATCTGCCTGCAATGCAGGAGACATAGGAGATGCAGATTAGATCCCTGGGTCCAAAAGATCCCCTGGAGAAGGAAATGGCAACCTGCACCAGTATTCTTGCCTAGAAAACCCCATGGACAGAAGAAGCTGGTGGGCTGTAGTCCAAGGGTCAGAAAGTCAGACACAACTAAGCACGCAGGCATGAATTTTGCACCAGGTGCTGTAGTTGACCCCAGGGATAGAGGAATGGTTAATAAACCCACCACAAAGTCGTGGAGAGAGATAAAGAGACAGCTTGCAATGGGGAGGGCCAGATGGAGAAAACAGCAGAGGTGTGGCTGGGAGGCCAAGAGGAGTGAGCGGACTTGCTCTTCAGGGAGGCAGGGAAAGGCTGGCATAGGGAGAGGTGGAAGGCATTGACTCCAACTTTGTCACCCCACCCTGAATCACACCCCAAAACCTTTCAGTTTGCATCTGTGTGCAGAACAGCCACATGTCCATGGTTACCTGTGCCTGGTCCCTTTGGGATGGCGCTGGATTATGATCACCTTGAGTGGAGTGAAAGAGGACCAGTAGCAGAGCTGATGAAAGGGAGAAAAGTGAGAACAGAATCAATTATTTTTCTTTAACAGTAAATATCAGCAACTGGGCTTAAAGGTGATGCAAGTGACCGGTTTGTGAAACTCATTGTCCAAGTGTTCTTCAGAGAACTGAAAGGTTGTTGCTGAACGATTAGACGCGGGATTCTTGGCCTCCGAAGGAGACGAATTCAATCCGGGGCCAGAGATAAGGCTGGATCGCTCAGAGCTTTTGTGTAATAAAGTTTTATTAAAGTATAAAGGAGATAGAGAAAGCTTCTGACATAGGCATCAGAAGGGGGCAAAAGAGTACCCCCCTCCTAGTCTTTAGCTGTCTGTTATATAGTCACTCACAGTCTGTTAATGAAAAGAATGTCATAAAATTTAGAATGGCACCAGATAATTCATCCCTGGCCATAAAACGATTGACTTGAATCTTGCAGAAGGGCAGAATACCAACAAATAGTTTCATTTACATAGATTAGGGGAACAATACCTGAGTAAGTAAGTTAGGCCGTTTGGCGGAACCAACTTGAAGATAGAGTCTGAGGTTCATTAACATAGCTTAAGACAACATTTCCATATGAAAAAGAAATGTATTGGTTAACTCAAGGTTTGAGAGTAGTTAGCTTCAGGTGAGACCAGGTGTCATGGCAACACAGCACTTTAAGAGAAACCTCCTTTTAAATCTGCATAGAGAAGGAAAGACATATCGCTGGTTTGTTTCTTCCTGCTGCTTAAGAGAGATAAAAATGTCTGGCACCTGCAGCCTCTTTTTTCCATTTGGAGACCCCTGGCCTTCCTGCCTGTTACCCTGTCTGAACCATAAGGGATGATTCTCTAGATAAGAAATCAACAATGAGAGTAAGAACAACAGCTCCAGTTCATTACATATGCTATCTCACTGTCTCCCCAAGACCCCCTGCAAGCTGTGACTCCCACCCCTGCATTGTACAAGTGAAAGAAGTCTCTGCCGATCTTCTGGCTCTAGCACTGGTGTCAGACATCTAGTAAGCCCTCAAGAAATACATGTTGACTAAAAAATAAATAAGTTAGTAGATGCTTCCACTAGATGACACAACTGCATCCATGTCGGAAGACATGCATGATGTCAGCATGACTACTGCCATGATGCTGGTGCTGTTCAGTCACTAAATTGTGCCCGATTCTTTGCCACTCCATGACCTACAACATGCTAGGGTTACTTGTCCTTCATTATCTCCCGAGTTTGCTCAAATTCTTGCCTGTTGAGATGGTGATGCTATCTAAACTTCTGATCCTCTGTCACCCTCTTCTCCTTTGGCCTTCAATCTTTCCCAGCATCAGGGTCTTTTCCAATGAGTCAGTTTTTCATATCAGGTGGCCAAAGTATCGGAGCTTCAGTGTTAGCATCGGTCCTTCCAATGAATATACAGGTTTGATTTCCTTTAGGACTGACTGATTTGATCTCCTTGCTGTCCAAGGTACTCTCAAGAGTCTTCTCCAGCACCCCAGTTCAAAAGCATTAATTCTTTGGCACTCAGCCTTCTTTATGGTCCAACGTTCACATCTGAACATGACTACTGGAAAAATCATAGCTTTAACTGTCTGGATCTTTGTCAGCAAAGTGATGTCTTTGCTTTTTAATACTCTGTCTAGGTTTGTCATAGCTTTCCTTCCAAAGAGCAAGTGTCTTTTAATATCATGGCTTCAATCAACATCTGAAGTGATTTTGGAGCCCAAGAAAATAAAATCTGTCAGTGCTTCCACTTTTTCTCCTTCTATTTGCCATGAAGTGATGGGACCAGATGCCATGATCCTCAATTTTTTGTATGTTGAGTTTTTAAGTCAGTTTTTTCAATCTCTTCTTTCATCTTCATCAAGAGGCTCTTTAGTTCCTCTTTACTTTCTGCTATTAGAGTAGTGTCATCTGCATATCTGAGGTTATTGATATTTCTTCTGGCAATCTTGATTCCAGCTTTTGCTTCTTCCAACCCAGCATTTCCCATGATGTACTCTGCATATAAGTTAAATAAGCAGAGTGGCAATATACAGCCTTGACTTACTTCTTTTCCTAGTTGGGGCCAGTCTGTTGTTCCATGTCCAGTTCTAACCGTTGCCTCCTGACCTGCATACAGGTTTCTCAAGAGGCAGGTCAAGTGGTCTGCTATTCCCATCTCTTGAAGAATTTTCCACAGTTTGTGGTGATCCCACAGTCAAAGGCTTTGGCATAATCAATAAAGTAGAAATAGATTTTTTTTGGAACTCTCTTGCTTTTTGATGATGCAGCGGATGTTGGCAATTTGATCTTTTGTTCCTCTGCCTTTTCTAAATCCAGCTTGAACATCTGAAAGTTCATGGTTCACATATTGTTGAAGCCTGGCTTGGAGAATTTTGAGCATTACTTTGCTAGCGTGTGAGATGAATGCAATTGTGTGGGAGTTTGAACATTCTTTGGCATTGCCTTTCTTTTGGACTGGAATGAAAACTGACCTTTTCCAGTCCTGTGGCCACTGCTGAGTTTTTTAAATTTGCTGACATATTGAGTGCAGCACTTTCACAGCATCTTCTTTGAGGATTTGAAATAGTTCAAC